TGTCAGTTGATCAAAGTAAGGGAATGCTTGGCACCTTTGCTCCTCAGCGAGAACCTTACATACATATGTTAGAAGAGGAGACCACTCCATCAGGTGCACTTGCAAGAGGAACATATACAGCTAAACTTAAGGTAAGAGCATTTTATATTCCTATTGGATTCAATATCACTTGGTGTTGTTCATTTCATTAGTGAAATCATTCTATAAGTTCAGCTTGTCCACGAGAACAAATATAGTGGTCATTACGTATTAACTTTCCACTGATATAGATCTAGTGTATCTTAAAGATAGTACAAATTTTAACCTTTCCATTGTTTTTGAATCGGCACTAGTTAATATATTTGAGAGTTGACATTCCTATCTGATTACCTAAATACATAGCTTATTTTATCATATTGATCTAGACTCCTATTTCAAAGAAATTAGAGACAATGATTAGTATAAGACTAATCACCTTCTTTAATTACTTTAATAGAAATCAAGTTAAGAATTTATTTTACCTCTTAAAAAATCATTCTTATAAAATGAATCCATAGTAACCAGTCCACACACAAAGGTGTAAAAAAGAGAAACTCTCAAATAATATTAATCATGTCATTTCTCATTAAAATTACCTAAATACACAACTTATTTTATCATATTTTCTAAAATTTGAAAAAATTACAAAAATCCCTATTCTCGGATACATCATTTTACGCGATGTATCAATCGGATGCATCACTTTATGCGATGTATCAGGGCGTTGAATGATGTATTTGAAATCGAGACGTGATGTATCGGGATGTATTCGAAATCAAGATGCAATTTATCGGGACATTTTGGGATGTATTCAGGTTCCACCAGATTTAAAGGATTTTTGTAATTTAGAAAAAAAGTAGGGATATGATGTAATTAGTTCTTAACACTATGAAATTTGTGTAAAATTTCCTTAAAATTAATGGGATTCAATGAATTAGTTCTTAACATATATTCTTGATTTTTCATTGAATCCCATTAATTTTAAAGAAATTTTACACAAATTCCATAGTGTTAAGAATCTAATTACATCATATTCCGACTTTTTTTCTAAATTACAAAAATCCCTTAAATTTGGTGGAACCTGGATACATCCCAAAATGTCCCGATAAATTGCATCATAGTTTTGGATACATCCCTCTATATCACGTCTCGATTTCAAATACATCATTCAACGTCCCGATACATCGCATAAAGTGATGCATCCGACCGATACATCGCGTAAAGTGATGTATCCTAGAGTAGGGATTTTTGTAATTTTTTCAAATTTTAGAAAATATGATAAAATAAGTTGTGTATTTAGGTAATTTTAATGAGAAATGACATGATTAATATTATTTGAGAGTTTCTCTTTTTTACACCTTTGTGTGTGGACTGGTTACTATGGATTCATTTTATAAGAATGATTTTTTAAGAGGTAAAATAAATTCTTAACTTGATTTCTATTAAAGTAATTAAAGAAGGTGATTAGTCTTATACTAATCATTGTCTCTAATTTCTTTGAAATAGGAGTCTAGATCACCTTTGATTTAAGTTCTTTAATTGACTCTATTAGATAATTAGTGTTTTCTTTTATTTCTCACACAAACAAAAAAAGAGATAAAAATGATATATATTTTTTAAAAAATATATATATTTCATTTTTTCTCTCGAAACACAAATTCCTCGAAAAATTGGAATAATCCATATATTTAAATAGTTTAATATATTAGATGATATTATATGGAGCATTGTTAAATATTTAAATAGTAATATACTAGATGATATTATCGAGTATCATAATTTGGGGGAGTAAATTTTTCTTACCAAAATTACGAGTAAAAGAAATAAGAATTGGGAAATGAAATATGGGGTAAGTGGAAGACAAATGGTGAACAATCAACGCAACCACCTTAAGCTCGTGACTTGAGAAAATCATAATTACACTTCACCTATATATGTTGAGTGTTTGTCTTCCCCAAAAATATATTAAGTGTTATCATAGAGTTTGTACATATCTCCTTCCAATATTTTATTTTGTTTTTTTCCCTGTTCACTATTTTATACAAATTCAATAATGTGTTGCATGTTATTTTATTTGAAATTAAATAAATGATTAACCTTGAGTTATAATTAATAAATTTAGTAATGTTTCGTTTAATTAATTTTATTTCTCAATAGGTTTGGATTCTACAAAATATAAACACATCACCTCACATTAATTACTTTGTATTAAAAAGAGTGAAAGAAAAATCCAATCTTTTTAATAGCTTGTGAGAAATAGGGTTAGTAGGTGTCCTCAAATCTTCACTAATGGTACTTGAGTACACCTACTAACCCTATTTCTTACAAAATATTGAAAAGATATGATTTTTCTTTCACTCTTTTTAATACAAAGTAATAATGTGAGGTGATATTTTTGTATTTTTCAAATTGTTGAAAAATAAAATTAATTCAACGGAACATTAATAAATTTATTAATTGTAACTCAAGGTTAATTATTTATTAAATGTAACAAATTATTGAATTTGTATAAAACAATGAAAAAAAATACTAGAAGGGGATATATACGAACTCTATAGTAACACTTAACATATTTTTGGGAAAGACAAACACTCAACATATATTAGGTAGTGTGTAATTATGATTTTCTCGAGTCACGAGCTTAAGGCGACTGTATTGATTGTTTACCATTTGTCTTCCACTTACCCCATATTTCATTTCTTATTTCTTTTACTCGTAATTTTGGTGAGAAAAAATTACTCCCCCAAATTTTGATACTCAATCATTTCATCTAATATATTACTATTTAAATATTAAATTGTACTCAATAATATCATCTAATATATGGATTATTCCAATTTTCGAAGGAGGATTTTGTGTTTCGAGAGAAAAAATGAAATACGTTTCTTTTAAAAAAATATCTCTTTTTGTGTGTGAGAGAAATAGAAGAAAACACTAACTATCCCAAATATAATGGGATTTAAATCCTACTTTTATGGAAATAATATCTAGGAAAATTCAAAATATGGAACTTTTAAATTAGGAAACTTTGGCTTTAAACGTCCATCTCTTTGGGCTCTTTTTTGGGGTTTCATGGCCTAATCTTCTTTCTTTTGAGCTTGAATTTGGATATTTCTTTTGTGATAATTATAGGAAAAATTATGCAGAATACCAAACACTTAGCCTATATTAGGTATATAGCTATAGTTTAAGAAAATTGTAATTCACGGCTATAGTTTTCCCAATTCTTGCTATTCGCTTGATTTGTATAATTCGGTGGTATAAATCCAAAATTTTGTATATGCTTACCCTAGCTATTTGTATAAAAAACTCATAGTAAATTACCCTGTTTGTATATTGGCAAGCGATATATACAAATGGAATTCTGAAAAATTCTTAAATGTATAAATACATAATTTGTATATACTTACCCTATTTGTATATTCGCAAGCGATATATACAAACGGCAGTCTCCATAGTAAACATAACTATAGCTATGGAGCGCAATTATTGAAACTATACATAAAGAGCCTTATTATGTCTATTATGTTTGCTATTTCTAAAATTTTCTATTTTCTTGATTTTTCATTGAAGCCCGTTATTTTAATGGAGGTATGCTAATGTGGATGCTATCAATATCTTTCTTCTGTTTAGAAATGTTGAAACTTGAAACATCTGCAGTTACATACTAAATAAGTAGAGTTTATATCACATTCTTGTTGAGTGTGCGCTGATTAATCTGTGCTTTCATGCAGACAATGAGACAAATAGAAAAACTGCTAGAAAAATCAGTGCTTGGTCTCAGTAGGGATATACTTTTGTTGTGTGCATGTCCAATTTGTGGTTTGTACGTAGGACTTAAAGTGAAATATGATCCATCTGATGTATACATCAATAATAATTGTCTAGTTTAAAACAGAAGGATTTTGTTTGTCTAACAGTTTACGTTCTTTGCAAACATAACTCATTTAACTGGTATTTAGAAAACGTAATTAGTTTGATCAAGTAAGGTGACACCCATGACTGAGAGATGGCCGATGAGTGTGGGTCAAGAGATGGATTGACAACCTTCTAGGCTAACAAACTTCTAAAAAAGTTGTGCACATGATACCTGAATCATACATCAGGATAAGAGAGGAAAGTGAACTTTATAAGGTGTAACACAAGTTTACATCTCTTTTGTACTCAATTATGGTGTAGCCCAAGGGACAAATCCGTGAGGCTTGTTGTGGCAAAACAGACAATATGTGTCATGGACTTGAGTAATAGATTTATAATAGAAAAGAAATATTTTTCAATCCTGCATTCTGAAAATAGAACATAACTTATGCACGACAATGCTGCGTGTGTTTGCACTATGATAAAGTGCACTCCGACATGTAATTGTCTGTGAAAAGCCTAATTTTGCAACCTAGAAAATAGAAGTAAATAACCTGCTGTAACCAGTAAATACATCTGCAGTATAAAAGAAGCCGTTTTGCTTTTGTATCCATCCTTTTAACACTATTGTCTGTACCAGGTGTTGTGTGCATGTTCCGCAACTTAATGACTCTGTACATCTCTGGCTTCTCTATGTGTTTTCCAGTTTTCGTTTCACTTTACTGTTCCTATTGGTGAGTGAAGATGTTGATGAATTCGGTTTTTCTGTGGACTTGTTTTCTGCAGTTTATGGATGATGATAAAAGATGTCATTTGGAGCTCAACTATTCATTTGAAATCAGCAAGGCTAGGTAGCCAAGGTGTCCCTGCAGCTATTTCTGGCCTTCTTGGAAACTGGATATTCGACTGAATTCGTGTCGTTGAATTGTGCCTTGTTTACTGGATCCAGCACATACATAGCAATAGCTTAGCAAATATGATTGACTTTTACAGTGGATTCTCTTGATGCCTTGTATGAAATTTGGTTGTTTTTCATGTTACTGCAACAAAATCCTTCATTGACATTGCTAAAGCCTTTTTTTCTTATGCATACCAGACCGCGAATTATAAATAAACAGTGAATGCACATGTTAAGTTCATTTAATCTCTTTAACTTTACATATTTAAGTTTCTTATTGCATAACCATAATATTAACTTCAAAGTTTTAATGCCATATATTACACATCTCATTGAAGTTGAGGATTATCCCATGAAACAAGGGACTTTACATGAGGCATATAAAGATCTCCAACTCTGTTGGTGCCTTTAAAATTGATCTCCTGCATTTCTTCAGCTTCAAAGTTGTAAATATGTAACAAAGGGTATCCTTCTTCTCTCTGGAAAAATATCTCCTTAGTCGACGCGCAAAGGGGAATAAATCCTGTGATATCATATAACCTGTTGATACTATACCTCTTTAACCAATTCCCATTCTTCAGTATCCATACCTGAATCAAATTCAATGTGGCATGAGTTATGAAGCTCAGGGACCCTCCAATTTCAAGGAGTCGATCGTTTTTCGTGCTGCTGATTGGTAGAGGTACAGTTAGGAATTTCTCATCATGAAATCCCAAGGAGACAACATGGTTACAGCCATCAATCTGTGGAAGCCAATACAAAGCACCAATTGCTGAAACAGATCTATGAGTTGTGATCAATCCAAATTCTCCTGATTTAGGTCCATCCACTGCATGCCACGATCTTGTTGTGAGGTTCAGGATCTCACAGCGAATGTTTCTAGAGTTACCGCGGAATAAGTGTACTACTTTATAAGAACCTGTGAAATGGCTGAACATGAAGGCATAGCACTCCTGCACGAAGCCAATCGTACCAAGAGGCATTCTAACGTGGTTCCGTGTACTTGGATTCATAACAACTAGACCTCCATTTTTCGCAATCTTGGCAAGGACCAAACCATTGCAGGCAGCCAAAATGCACTTTATGTTCCCCAAAGTATCTGGCATACAAACTTTATGGCCTTTGCCGCTATGGATATCCCAGAAATGGAAATAAAGTTCATTCTTCTTATCTGAAGGCAGTGGAAAAGGCGACCGTATGTTTTCCTTGTGAAAGGAATTTTCAGCAATTAGAACTCTCTCAGATTGACGAAAGTGATCTTCAATAAAACCCAGACTGTTGATCATGTTGAGAAGTGACTTGCATACGCAACGCAGTTTGCAGAGAGTTTCAGCTGGAAGTAGAAGAAAAACCTCAAAAAGCAAGTCATCAGGAAGCCAATTCCCCTTGGTCTCTAAATTATCATCCATTTCTTCTTCTGTTTCCCTTGATGTTGTGCTCTGTATCAGCTGTTCAAGCGCGATTGTTTCTACAGATGCCAATTTAAGCCTCTTTTTACCTCTTGGCGACCAGTCTCTCATGACGTAAATCCACTGAAATCAGAAAGCTCTAAAAGAATTCTGCAACCAAAACGAAAACAAAAACATTTTAGAAGGAAAAAATTCCATGCCAGCATTTCGTTATTCCCTCAGTGTTTGTGAGGGAGGCACACAGGTTTATGAAAATTACAAGAAATAATTTCTAGCACAAAGTTTCAGCAATCAGACAGTTGCTATACATAGAAAACTCCATCAGTTTTTCTGTACTTTCTATATGGAACTTAATGCTTGTCTCTACTCCCACCTTACCTAGCCTTGTTGGCCTTTTGGTCTTCCCAAAGACAAAATATTACCTCATCACTAGGTTCTTTATAAGAATAAACTGCAAAGAAAATCGTTAAAGAAAGAAATACAAGGACCATCAGCGGCTTTAAGCCGAAGAATGACTTCACAACGGTTTGCTAACTGAAAAGATGTGAAAATTACTTCATAAATGAAGAAGGATAAAATAATTTGTGTTTGTGATGAAATTGAACAAATGTAAAAAAACAAAACCAAAGGAAAAAGATGGTCTAAACTCTAAAGTCGGAGAATATAAACGGAAGCAAACTATATACTTGCACGCTTCAATTTAGAACACCAGTCAACCCGATTACAGAGTTCTAAACAGAATACAGCAAAACAATCATCATAAGCAGCACCTATGAATACTAAACTTGTGCCCTCAGCTAACACCAGTTAAAGGCGCTTTAAGATCTCCGTTAGTAACTAACATCTCTAGAAGAGAGCATATATTAGAGAAATGACATCGGGCATAATACACTAGTAGAATACATCTTGGATCAATAAGATAGGTTCTGAGGCATCAAGATTGCCAGTTTTTTATGACAAAGAATAAAGTAACTAGCAAGACTAGAATAGTAGTTTTTATTAAACCATTACAACCCCAAACACTCCCATTATATGATCAGTATTCTCCGAACAGGCAGCTAACTCACAAGGGGTAGCCCTTTTACATTCCCAGGACATAGCATGTAACATAATCGCCCTCATTCTTTTTGGCATATCTATAGGTGGACTAAATATATTTCAGCTCAGCTTCAGTCAATCTTGGACAAGTTATAGCCAGCCTTCACATACCAAAGAATTATGAAACTAGAAGAGGTAAGAAAATAGATCACAACCCGTCTACGGAAACTAGGGAGGAATAGGCTAGGTAAAGGTATAAAGCGGGACATAAGAAGGGAATAATAAGATAAATTAATAGGTCAAAATGAGAAAACTCCCTTTCTCTACTATCTTTCCTTCTTCACTTTTTAAACGAACAAAAAAATGAAAAGGGTTCTACTTGTCCCTTCATTTTCTTCCCTTCCTCGCCATCCAAATGAACTAGAACCCATAGCATTAAAAAAGTTCAACGTAGTTTCCTATGACGATAAGTTCACAGCTTGATACTCCAGGGCATACTGTGCAGAGTCATCTTAACGTTGAACCTTGAAGTAAGCAAGATGACAGATGAATTTAGTTACACCAGTGAAGTCTACTAGATGAACAGAGGTTTTCAATGGAAAATCATGTAACTGATTAAAAATGACACAGTTGAATAAAAAGACAGAAAAACAGACCTCTAAATGAATTCTCTCCAAAATACAGATATAAACATATTCCTTCATGGTATGCAGAGATCATGGTTTAATTAAACGCACAGAACATAGACTTGAAGGCTTTTTCCTAAAAGAATAACAGACATTTATTTTATCTTGACATCTTGTGCATTTTGTTGTGCTCCCTCATTGCATGACAGAATAGTTATTAATTAGTTAATTTATTTATTGATAACAAAAGGTAATATATTAATTAAAATCAGTATCAAGTAAGTACCATGAAGAAATTGTCACATTCTAAGTAGTTTAGGAGTGAAGCAAGTCCATCACAGAGTCCACAAGACAGACAAATTATGTCGGTTTTTTCTTTCTTGTAGCAAACTTACCCTACACGAGAAGCAACTTACACGGATCTTAGTTTAACGAATAGTGTCACTTACATCAAACATGCATTAAAATAGTCAGATAAAAGGAGATAATACCACAAGAAGGAGGAAAGGGAAGAAACAAAGTTCCATACAGGCCATACAACATGCAATAATCAAGCCCTTATCAGTAAGTCAGTAACACGCTAAAGTATATACATTACATCTAATTTTGCACAAATTTATACGTATTGTTGATCCATCTGTTAGCATTATTCAACAGAAGTTTAACAGACATGTTCTGTACTTCACATCATAGAGGAACACATTACACACCTTGGTTTCTTGAAGAAAGATATTCCCTTTCATCAATCGCAAAAATAAATAAATCTGTTATTACAGTCTTCGATAAAAATGTAATAACCAATTACAACTCTTATTTAGCTGAAATTAACAAATAACAGACTTGGTTGAAATGTGAAGCCGTGGCATACCAGTCACAGATGAAATATGAGCATCTTACACCATAATCATAATTGATTCAATATGACTCCTCATGTAATATGAAATTGTATCCCATCTCTTGCTGAAGCAGATGAAGAATAGCTAAAATTTTATGTTCAAACGCTCGGATTTATAAGTTCACTGTCTCCTCCTCACCCATCCAACACCCCCACCATCCCACCCCCGAACCCCCTCTCCTCACCCCTATAGTATTTTTCCAGATTATACATAAATGCTCTTAGAATAATATTTTTCCGTACATACACCGACTAGAAAATAAGTAAAAAAATCCAAAAAAACATTTTACTTCATAACAAAACACCCTTAGCTCTTTCACAATATGAGAGTAGGATTCTCCTCTCTTTTTTTAAGTAACAAAAGCCTAATTAAATACACAAATAGCTAACAAGACCTCACCGACATAGATTGTGATGGGATGGATAAGATTGCTCCCCTCGACCAGGAGTCTCACATTTGGGCCAAATAAAATCATGTCATTGAAGCAATGAAGCCCTTCCCTATTAAAGGGACAGATTATTAGGTCAGTAGGTTCTGGATAACTCATATTTAATTAATTTAAAAAAAAAGTAAAGAGGAGCCCTGATTAGTGATTACCCATTCAAGTCAACACTAGCAAGGAAGTAAAAAACAGTACTACACATTCAAAGTAGAAAATACCACTCCATGGTTCCTCCCATATACTTCATCCGTCCTCATCTGTCCTAATTTATGGTTTCAATCACAAATTTCAAAAGGTCTACATTTTTCTTAAATTTTGTGCCAAAACAAATTATATTAAATCAAACAGTGTCACATAAATTGAGACAGATAAAATACAGTTTAATCCCATAAAAAAAACAATTATAAGAAAACATGCATGATAATCACAATCTCACACACCAAACTGAAATAAAATTTAAGATTATGGCTGACCTTAATGACGGAAGAGAATTTGTGTATTTTTTTTCTTTTTTCTCGACAGCAATGATCCTGAAGTCTGTTCTCTTTAAGTTTCAAGTCTTTGGCTAGTGGTGGGCCGCTTGATTATTAATGATATAAACTTTCTTTTTTAGAAAAAATGAGCTTTAGAAGACTGAGTCTTTCTTTAATATAACAAAAGTGATAAGTGGGCCTCACCCACTTTTTGAAAAAAATCATGTTTATATATTCAGAAAAAAAAAGTTACTATTGTAAGAATAAATTACAAGTATATTAAAAATATATAATATATTTTTTTACAAGTATAAGAATAAATATGACCTTTTATCTTAAAAACCTTCATTGAATTCTAAGTTCTTTTGGATTTGCACCTTGTAGGGCCATTCGAGGGAACATGATTGAAGTCTGACTATTTCAAATTCACACAGTATAGGAGTTCTATTTGAGGTGAAGCGCTTCCTATTAATGATTTTTGCATACCCAAGACACAAACACAAAACCTCTTTGATTACGAGAGGAGCAACCCATCTGCTACACCACATTTGTTGGTGATATTCGCTTTGTTATTATTTCAACAGACACGTTGCATTTTAAAAGGATTTCAACTATTGAATATTCCTCGAATTTATTCATTTAAATTGTCTTTGTGTAATAACATTTAATTCAACTATGTGAATTATTTCATGAAATAATATTATTTTTTAAAAGATAAATTATTCACTGTGCTAAAATTAAAGTAGAATGGTAAAAACACATACTAAAAATAAAATAAAAACTAATTGCACTCCTTAACTAAGAGAATTCTATTTAATGAGATAATAGTACGAGGATCTAGATTATTGTGTATCACTTAATAAAATGAGACTGAAAAATTATGAGTTCTCACCAATAATGGCGGATCATGGATTTGAGAAAAGGGGTTCATTATTTTAAAGAAGTGAATAGTAAATAATCTCATTAAACGGGTTTCTCTAAATATAAACTAAATTATCGTTTAAAATTAAATTAACAATATATTAAATAAAAATTAATAGAACAGTACGTTATTTTGAAGTGGCAACGGAACCGGTAACGGAACTACCGGACCGGGACGTTCCGGAACCGGAACGGAACCGGGCACCACGGGCCGGAACCGGTAATTCCGGAAAAAAATCCGTGTACCCGTTCCGGACCGGACCGGAAACCGGGTCCAACTGTTAAAATTATAATTTTTTTATTAAAATTAAAAAATTAGGAACATTACACTTAAAAATTTATACTTTTAAAGTTTTAAATACAAACTTTCAAACTTTTAAAAGTATAAAAGTTTAAATTTCACAATTTAAAAGTTTGAAAATTTAAATTCAAACTTTAAAACTATAAAAGTTTAAATTTCACCCTTTAAAAGTTTGAAAATTTAAATTCAAACTTTAAAACTATAAAAGTTTAAATTTCACCCTTTAAAAGTTTGAAAATTTAAATTCAAACTTTAAAACTATAAAAGTTTAAATTTCACCCTTTAAAAGTTTGAAAATTTAAATTCAAACTTTAAAACTATAAAAGTTTAAATTTCACCCTTTAAAAGTTTGAAAATTTAAATTCAAACTTTAAAACTATAAAAGTTTAAATTTCACCCTTTAAAAGTTTGAAAATTTAAATTCAAACTTTAAAACTATAAAAGTTTAAATTTCACCCTTTAAAAGTTTGAAAATTTAAATTCAAACTTTAAAACTATAAAAGTTTAAATTTCACCCTTTAAAAGTTTGAAAATTTAAATTCAAACTTTAAAACTATAAAAGTTTAAATTTCACACTTTAAAAGTTTGAAAATTTAAATTCAAACTTTAAAACTATAAAAGTTTAAATTTCACACTTTAAAAGTTTGAAAATTTAAATTCAAACTTTAAAACTATAAAAGTTTAAATTTCACACTTTAAAAGTTTGAAAATTTAAATTCAAACTTTAAAACTATAAAAGTTTAAATTTCACACTTTAAAAGTTTGAAAATTTAAATTCAAACTTTAAAACTATAAAAGTTTAAATTTCACACTTTAAATTTTAAAAGTTTGAAAATTTAAATTCAAACTTTAAAACTATAAAAATTTAAATTTCACACTTTAAAAGTTTGAAAATTTAAATTCAAACTTTAAAACTATAAAAATTTAAATTTCACACTTTAAAAGTTTGAAAATTTAAATTCAAACTTTAAAACTATAAAAATTTAAATTTCACACTTTAAA